CGAATTTAACGTAAAAAGCAAACCTAATCTAAAATAACTTAACAAACGAAAAAGCAATACGTGTTAATTGAAAGTTCAAGCTTCCAAAATAAATTAAATGGCTTGAAAAAAAAATTTCTTTCGGTTCAATTTTAAAGGGTTTATATTTACATTCGAAAAATCACTGCAGCTCAAAATAAGAGTATGCATGCTTTCTTTTCCTGTAAAACTTTGCAAACCTTTTCTCATTCCAAAACTTTGAGTAACTTGGCGGCGGTTTTTGTTTGAAGTCTATCGGTTGCCGCATCTCTGTGTTGTGCGTCTTCAGCGATGGTATTTTTTTTTGTTCGAAGTCGGTATATCAAGAGTAGGCGCCTTTGTTATCTGTTTGCTTAATTCTCTTTTAAAGACAATCAATTCACAGTTATCTCCTTACAACTAATTTGCTACAAGAGCCATCATATATTTTACAGTTCATTTCTGAAACCCATCCATTTATCATTACTTCAAAACATACTTTGACTAGAATTGATTTAGATTAGAAGAGTTGAACGCGTTACATTAAAGCTGATAATTGGCTGACTTACATTGACATTGCTCTAGAACAGGGGTGGGAAATAGTTCCACACGTGGCTCGCCAAAACTGTTAGATAATTCGCCTTGAACAGCGATCAACTACATTAAATTGCACAGGATGTATATAATGAGAATTTCAATAAACACAATCTCACTCCTAATTTCAAAAGAAGTGTAGAAAAAGGATGATAAGGTACATTTGTCTAATTAAACTAATTCTAAAATTGAATGTACCATAAATCTATAAATCCGGGGTGGGCATTACATCGATCGCGTTCGACCAGTGGACCGTAAAGACATTTTGGGGGGACCGCCTGAAGATTTTAGCAGTTAGTAATTATACAGGGAAATATTCAAGATTGGTTGAGAAGTACGCAGACTATATATGAGTCTTCTACTGACTATAACAAAAACTAACTTTAGATAAAAATGCTTTTTTTTTTCAAGTATTTTGAATTGTTTCATAACAAACGCATCATTTCATATTATTATATTTGAGGCTGTTACTATGTATCTTGCATTTTGCTTTAAACGGGGTTTTTAAAAGTGTAAGTTTTTTTTAACTTCAGTTCTGTTGGTAAGTACGTATTGCGTATTTATTATATTAAGTTATAAAATAAATATTGTAGACCCCTTTTCCTACCTCACCACACCAACGTCACTGGGCTTTGGCCGAAAAACAACAATTTTTCAAGGGTGGGGGGAGAGTTATGGGTTAAAAGTCTACCGTTTTCGTATCATACCGCAATACGCAGCCAAACATATTTTTGATTTTGTAGAATGTCGGGCACAAAAAATAGTAAAAAACAAATAACTGAATAAATAATCAGCATTAATTAATAAAAAAATTAATAATAACAAATAATTACGTTTTACGTACTATATACATCGGATTAAAATCAATCGGAAAAAAATCAAGGGAGGGTCAGGAACCTCATGGACCCCTTTCCCCCTCCTTGTGTGCACTACTGACACAGGGTGGACCGCAACACCTTGAAAAAATTAGATGTAGCCCGTACCCTAGAAAGTCTGCCCACCCCTGCTATAGATGATATAAAATTAGCAAAATAAATTAAACAAAATTACCATTATTTTTAAATTAAAAATTACTTTTTACACATTTTTAACTTATATTTGAACCGATTTTTATAGTAAAATTGACACATTTTCTAGGGGGAAATATTAGCTAATGAAAGCAATAATTTTAAAAAGGTACGGCCCTCTGGTATCTCCCGATTCCACAATGTGGTTCTCAAACCAAAACAATTTCCTGTCCTTGCTTTGGTTCTTATTATGAAAAAGAGTCCTAGAGTCCAGTAGTGACGACGACATCTGACCTAGTACATTTTGTTCTCCGAATTTCCATACCAATTCATAACGTGATGGTGAAATTAAGTTTTAAGTTGAAACTTATTTTAGGGAACCTTTAGGGTGACGAAAAGTGGCCGCGGTAGCCTAGTGGTCAAAATATGGGATAGTGGCTGGCAAGTCACGAGTTCGAGCCCAATACCACTAAACACCCACCGTGTAGGGGAGCGATGCACGTTAAATCTGTCGAGAGCTCAAACGTCCTCCCGTTAGTGTGGTGTGGTAGGAGAAGGGGTGCCAGCTCAGGTATCGTCCTCGTCACTTGACCACCATGGTTTAAAATTACGAGGTCCGTCCCCAAAAAGCCCTCGTGTAGCTGAACAATGCGATATTAATATTCACTTGGCGACGAAAAACATTAGGCACGAAAAAGGTGATAAGTTCACCAAAATGATATTATAGCCTCTGATTACCCGTACTGACTATAACAGTTCGATATGTAATTATTCGTGTTTAACTGCGAGTGTTTTTCGGAAAAAGTTTTTACATTAAAACGCAATTTTCATCAGAAAGGGGGATATATAATTTTAAACTAGAAATAAAAGAAAAGAGGAGAGGAGAAAGTCTCACAATGTTTGCAAAATGTTTCACAGGGAAAATTTTTTACTTCCTTTCAATGTCATGCTTTCCTTAACATCAGCAACAGTGCCGTTATTGATTTTTAGACGTGATGCAAAATTGTTTCATGATTGATTGATTGAATATTAACGTCGCACTGTTTAGCTACACGAGGGCTTTTGGCGACGGACCACGTAATTTTGAACCATGGTCAAGTGACGTGGACGACACCTGAGCTGGCACCCCGCTCTCCTAACTACCACACCACACCAACGGGAGGACGTTTCAGCTCTCGACAGATTTAACGTGCATTGCTACCCTACACGGCGGTTCTTTAGTGGTACTGGGCTCGAACTCGTGACAAGGCAAGCCACGATCCAATACCTATAGCCCTCGGCTACCGCGGCTACTATATATAGAGGGAATGTGAGCTAATAGAAGGAATTGAAAAAATATGAAGTGAATATCCTTCTACAAACTTCCATATCTTGACCTGGATGACTTAAAACATTTTGAGTTCATGCCCTTATTGTTTCGTATGACTTCTTCAATGAAGTTTCTCCCCTCAAACGTATGATCGGATGTCTAAGAAGCTCGCATTTAAATCTATGGGGTACCACAATTCAGAAGTAGTGTTAAGAACTTTACCCGGTACTTCCCGCAGTCTTTAAACAAAAACCAATCACCACAGATTGGTACAAATTTCTAAACAGCCTTTTAGATACTTGATAGATCAATTTGCTTCATTTTTCAATTAGCTTCTTTGTAAATCTATACAATGGGCATCGGCGTCTCTTAATTTAGAGCCAAAGAAATAAGACCCTATTTATATATAGTACCTCGCAATTTTAACTTTCAAACTAAGCCACGTTAAGAATTAGGAAGTCTCAATTAGATTTAACGAGCAATTGTCTCCATTGTTAAAAACAACGGTATTTCGTTAATTCGACTTTGGAATCCTCTATAAATAGGTCTCAAAGGGTTATTAGTTAAATGGCCGGTCCGACCTCTGATTAATTTTGCACAAACATTGTACAAGTAGCTGTTTTTAAGAGACCTTGCTTTCTGAGTAAGAATAACATGATAAAGTTGAGTGAGTGAGTGAATATTAAGGTCACACTATTCAGCTACACAAGGGCTTTTGGCGACGGACCTCGAATTTCGAACCATGGTCAAGTGACGAGAATGACCCCCTCTCCTAACTACCACACCAACGGGAGGATGTTTGAGCTCTCGACAGATTTAAAATGCATCACTTCCCTACACGGTGGGTCTTCAGTGGTACTGGGCTCGAACTCAAAACACGCCTGCCACTAGTTCGTTACCTTGACCACTAGGCTACCACGGCCTCTCCACGAAATCGGGACCCTTATCGCTCGGTTACTGCGACCACTGTTAGGGCTGCGGTAGCTTAGTGGTCAAGGTATCGGATCATGGGAGGCACGTTATGAGTTCGAGCCCAGTACCACTAAAGACCCGCCGTGTAGGGCANAGTTCGTTACCTTGACCACTAGGCTACCACGGCCTCTCCACGAAATCGGGACCCTTATCGCTCGGTTACTGCGACCACTGTTAGGGCTGCGGTAGCTTAGTGGTCAAGGTATCGGATCGTGGCAGGCATGTTATGAGTTCGAGCCCAGTACCACTAAAGACCCGCCGTGTAGGGCAGCGATGCACGTTAAATCTGTCGAGAGCTGAAACGTCATCCCGTTGGTGTGGTGTGATAGTTAGGAGAAGGGGGGTGCCAACTCAGGTGTCATCCACGTCCCTTGACCATGGTTCAAAATTACGTGGTCCGTCGCCAAAAGCCCTCGAGTAGCTGAACAGTGCGACGTTAAATTTCACTCACTCACTGCGACCACTGTAATGTTTTCAATAAAGAAGACTCAAAACCAAAACGCAAAACTGACTGACACGAACTCACGATCTCATACCAGAGATATATGGCAATCCTGAAATAGTATTTAGCTGTACAACATCTCAAACATCTACTATGTTCCCGAAAAATTTCTATTTGTAAATACACAACTCCTTTACACACACTTTACGGATATCTGTGAGAAATGTACAGCTTTATATAAATATTTAATGCCACAAATGATGTACAAAAAAATATCTCCTTCAAAAATGTTTTTCGATAACGTTAAGACACGTGAACTTTTGCATGCAATCTGCATTGGATAAATGAAACTCATATAAAAACAATCTTAGAAAAAGGAAAACTAAATTTTTTTTCAACCCTTATCACAATAGAAGTAACAATATATACATTAAAAAAAAATTAAGTCAATTCCTACTTAGGTCAACAAAGAAAAATTTTATTTTGGTTACTTTTTATTAAATAGTTACAACTAACATAAATATGTATATACATATGACAAAACCACAATATTAAGTGGCAAAACAGAAAGCGATTTTCCCTACAATTTTCCATTCTCCTTTCTATATATGGCGAGGTACTATTTTTTTTGTTTGTTACTATTTAATCCTTCATAAATCACATTCTCAGAAATTAAGCCATCCCAGAGGTAGGATTCGAAGCCACGACCTTTGGATTATAAGTCCAACGCACTATCCATTGCGCTCTGGGACACAACGAGCTATTTTCATTTTTATATATGGTGTTGGACTATTTTTGTTTGTTTATATTTATTCATTAATTAAGTTTAAATAATGAACTAATACATGAAAAAACTGTATTAACATCAAGCGTCATCCGCTATAAGTTTAAAAAAATGTATTTGAACTTAATGGATAAATAGAAAGTATTTTATTAACGATTGAAAATTGAACAATATATATATATATATATAAGAAGATTATGAACTATTAGTTGGGAGTTGAAAAATTGACGGCAGTCCTAAAATTGGGATATTTTTTATGCAATTTTCAGAAACTAGAATTTTTGTTTTCATCTTAAATCTTCAACAAAAAGCGTTCTATTAATGTATTCACCTTCTTCAAGAATTGTCCAAGATGATAGGACAGGATGTTTACTTTCCGGTACTCGTATATCTGCTATTTTCGATAACAACTTCCTTAAAATAAAACAACTTTTAGTATATAACTACTAACTGTGTCACACAATTATATAATATACAACTAATTTCTGTTCTGCTTTTATTAAGTGTACTAGATCTTACTGAAGGTGGCTGATATGATCAAAAGTTTCAAGAGATTTTAATTTATAAATTATTTATTATGATTTCATTTCATTTTTCTGTACGTTTAACTCTAGAGCAATGCAAAGGCTACTCGCGATAAACCTAGTAGTTTTCAACCTCGATCAAGTGACGAGGATGACACCTGAGCTGGTACGCAGTCCCCTCTCTAAATTTCCACATCACGTCAAAGTGAGATCTTTGAACCTCAAATAGACAACGGGTCGCATTTTACGAAAAGCTTTTTATAGTATATTTCTGAATAGATATTCACACATAACACAATTATCGTTCTCATTATTTATGAGAAAATTCAAATATATATTTGGTACTTAAGAATTATCGCAACAATCGCCAACTCTATTAATAACTCGCCAAGTTGGCAGCCGTGATTTCCTACGTGTCTTACGCGTTGAATTAGTAACCACATGCTTCGTTTTACAAGTTGCGATAATACGCAAGTACCATTTATTTCTTCAGAAAAGAGAGAGAAAATTACGAAGAAATTGTGGCATTTATTATACCTATTTTAATCGTATCGTATCCAATTAATCGTATCGTATCTATTTTATATCACGTGATTTACGATGTTTAATTCGAAGACATAGGGTGAACCCAAAGAGTTTCTCCCTGGTTATAAAAATTCATTCCAAAATAACAGTTTAGTACAGTGCTTTTCAAACTTTCAATATTCGCGATCCAATATTCAATCATAATTTTCATCGCCCTCCCCTCTCCAAACAATAATATATTGAACTCAATAATACTATAATTTGATGCTAATGCTACAATACGACTTTAACAAGTGCCACCGGCGTATATAAACGCCTCACTCAGCCAAAGCATAAATTTTCTGGACGTATATTTACGTCTTTCCGAAGTACAATGTTTTCTGTGTATTGCTATCCATAAAATTATTCCGAAGGCTTTGGAATGCAATAAAAGGACCTTGACAGTGGTTGCGAAGGATTTACTTACTTCAGAGGATTTGCTTATTTATTCCTTTGGGTCGCAATATTGAAAGTTTGAAAAGCAGTGTGTGTGTGTGTGTGTGTGTGTGTTTTAAAACGTTCATATTAAAATCTATATCCAAAGGACAGGATATAGTCGTTCTACAGTATACAGAATGAACATTCCATCTACTTTGACAAAACACTGAGGAAAAATATCTATATTTTATACAAATTTTTAATTTTATGAACGTAAAAAGAGCATGTTTTCCCCTACTCTAAAGATTATCACTCCGCGCTTGTTGTATCACAGATGCATGCCTGACCGCAAAAATGACGCCTCGGTCTATTTTTACTTCTGATAATGCATGAAGTTTTTCTCCATATAGTCTGTGCGTGTATCTGTATGTGCATGTCACTGCATGTGATTTAAATTAATCTTTTAATACTAAAATTTTTTGCTTAGTAGTTGAATTTTTTAGATTTACCTTTTAAAAAAATTAACAAATATATTTTATACACATTTCTTTCAATATTAGGCTATGTATTTATAATATTTCTAAGCCATTCGTACTGACCCTGTAAGAATGATATTTGAAGGACTATTAATAAATCACAGGGGCAGAGGTTTGAAAAAGTCAGTTTAAGTATAACCTCGAAGGAAACACTATTTTCTCATGGGCAATTCTATGTGGCTTTTTCAAGGTGCAAAAGCAAAGACTGAATAAAAATTCAGTACAATAAGCTCAATTCATGTGACGTCATAGTCACATGATAGTGAAAGCCCCGTGATTCTAGCCAATCAATTCAAAAACTCATGCGACGTCATAGTCACACGATAAAAACTATCTAGTGTTTCCAGCTAATCAGTTCACGCGCTCCGGTGTTGCCAAGTTTTGCTCTTTGCAGAAACTTTCTCTTAAAAAGTACATATGGATACAAAATGCATTTTATTTAAAAGTATAAACATAAAATATGTGTGATTTTTTTTTTAATTTAAAAAATCTTTTTTCTTAACATTTAAACATCTTTACTGAAATATGAAATTTTATCAGAGTTTCACAAATAGAACAACAAGTACAATTAGTTTAATGTTTGTTTTGAATTCAATGGAAAACACATGTTTGTTTTTATCATGTGACTTCATGAATTGAGCCCATTTAGAGAAAAAGGTGATTAGGAACATTGTTTTTGAAGAGGCCCTCGATTGAAGCACAAATTAAAATGCGGAGATGAAGACATGAAAATTTTGTTCTTACAATATATTGAAAATAAAATAAAACTACTAATACACGTACATGTGAATTACAGTTTTACAATTTGAACAATGAGTATGAACAGTTGTATAACTTGTCCAATGGGGAAGTGCCAATTCAAGCTGATTTCGGGCTCTGGGCGCAGAAGATCTACAGGCCCCCTTGGCACTGGAGGGGATCACAATTTATAACTATAAACCAGGAAATCTGGTTAAGTCCAACTTATCCGGACCCTGGGCACCCCGCCCCAATGGATAAACCAGCACTGCAATGGAGATTGTTAACTCGTTAGACGGTTAGGGGGGGGGGGGTACCCATCCCCCTCAATTAAAAATTCTATAAATACTTCTTTTATTTCAAAGGATAATTAATGCACATTAATTCTTAATGTAATTTTTAATATAACAGAAATTTATCCCTTTTATTAATCACACTCCGTATGAGGTATTTGTATCTGACAGTTTACAATCTTAAGTCATATATACATATATTTTATAAAAATTGTATTGTGGCCGCGGTAGTCAAGTGGTATAGGTATCGGACCGTGGCTTACCTTGTCATGAGTTCATGCCCAGTACTACTAAAGACCCGCCGTGTAGGGCAGCGATGCACGTTAAATCTGTCGAGAGCTGAAACGTCCTCCCGTTGGTGTGGTGTGGTAGTTAGGAGAGGGGGGGGTGCCAGCTCAGGTGTCGTCCACGTCACTTGATCATGGTTCAAAATGTCGAGGTCCGTCGCCAAAAGCCCTCGTGTAGCTGAATAGTGCGACGTTAATATTCAATCAATCAATATAAAATTGTATTAAATATTTTTTTAATAATTTCTTCAAAAATAAAACAATCAACGCGAACAACACATGAGCTTTTGTACATCCCATCCTTACTATCACATTGGATCCCTTGAGGTATTTGAGTGAGTGAATGTTAACGTCACACTATTTAGCTACTCGAGAGCTTTTGGCGAACGGACCTCGCAATTTTGACCCACGGTCAAGTGACGAGGATGCCCCCTGAGCTGGCACCTCCCCCTCCTAGATACCCCCCCCACAGGCTGACGTTTGAGCTTCGATTTTTTTAAAATACCTCCCCCCCCCCCCTAACACGGCGGGTCTTCAGCGGTACTAGGCTCGAACTCATGACGCGCAGGCCACGAGTCCATTACCTTGATCACTAAGCTACCGCGACCACTTGAGGTTTTTGAGAATGAGTTATATTCAATTTACCAAAAACTTTCATCATACCAAAGAATTGATATTTCGTGCAATCAGGGATTCGAAATCATGATCGTATTGAGCATCTGCGATCTCAAACTCATTTTTATAAGCCACCCGGTTTTTTATACATAAAGTTCGGGGAAAGATTAAATTTTCAATTTATTTAAATAAGAGTTTAATAATTGATAACTGTAGTTTTAAAGTGCTCGATTGATTTACATAATAAATTTGAACAGAACCAAGAAAAAAGTTCCGCTCAAAACTTCTAAGTAATACTTTCGGAGTAAAACTATTCCGAAAAAATAATATCACAAACATCTATACAAAAATTCTTTTAAGAATAAAGTTAAATCCATATAATTTCTCCCTACGAAAACTAAACTTATAACTTTCTAATTACAGACAAGTAATATATATATAAAAAAATTTAAGTCAATTCCTACTTAGATCAACAAAGAAAAATTTTATTTTAGCTACTTTTTATTAAATAGTTATAATTAACATAAATATGTACATACATATGAAAGAATCACAATATTAAGTGGCAATTAATTGTTATTAATTATCATTAAAGTATCTAATTGTCATCCAAAACAATCGTGTCTATAAAATTTCAGTTCAACTGAATGCTTTAAAACGTGAGAAAATAAATCTTTTAAAGTTTTGACCCAAGTCTTTATGAAACCAACGTGGCTGTATCTGTAATTCTTTAAATAATTCGTTTCAGTTAATTAATTCTAATTAATTATAATTAAATTAATGTATTTTTACCCAAAGCAATAGTATATAGAAAATTTCAGCTCAAATGAACGCTTTAAAATGTGAGAAAAAAACCTGTTTAAGTTTGACACAAGTCGCCAAAAGGGCTGCTAAGTTGTCAAAAATGATGCCAACGTGGCTGTATTTGTAATTCTTTAAATAATTAGTTTTAATTTATTTTTATTAATTATAATTAAATTACTGTATTGTCATCCAAAATAATCATGTACATAATATTTCAGCTCAGTTGAG